TTTTTTAGCAAACTCCATGCGGGCTTTCATGTGTCTTGCACTGAGGAGAGGCTTCCGTCAGGCCACTCTGCCATAAAGCCCCGACTGGTGGGGGGCTGCAGTGATGGTTGACTTTCTACAACTTTCTCCCATCTCCTGACTGCATCTCTGGAGCTCAGCTACAGTCATCTTTGGGTTCTTCTGTACCTCTCTCACCAAGGCTCTTCTCCCCCGATAGCTCAGTTTGGCCGGACGGCCAGCTCTAGGAAGGGTTCTGGTCGTCCCAAACGTCTTCCATTTAAGGATTATGGAGGCCACTGTGCTCTTAGGAACCTTAAGTGCAGCAGAAATTTTTTTTGTAACCTTGGCCAGATCTGTGCCCTGCCACAATTCTGTCAGTTAGATTTTAGAGTTTTCAGCACCCACTGTGTAAATGTGGTGAACTATTGATGCTGTTGACAATGTGGTTCACCATCTTACGGAGATGATATTTTCTTTCTTCAGAGTTTGAGCCCCGGTGGCAGCAGAGCAGTGCTCCATCAGTCACGGTGAAGAGACGACTTCCAGGAGCTTCGCTCATCAACCCCGGAACCAAAAAGTACAGTGTCTCTCAGAAGCCTCTGACAGTATGCGCATTATTCTCATCTCTGTGAAAGCAAACCAGAAACTGTTCTTTTTGCAGAAAGCTGCAGGCGACTGGCGTAGCCTTCGATGATGTGGGTGAAGACTGATCCTGTGACAGCACACAGCTTATCCTCTGTGTTTCCATGTTGCTGCTGCTCACGCAACGAGGAACATTTTTTAATCTGTTAACATGACACTATGAAATCAATTTCTGTCTTAAATTACAGCTTGTATCATACCATTCATACTGAAATCAATGATTTTAAATGTAATTTTACTCTGTCAGTGCGACGAGTGTCTTAATTTCAGGCCTTCCTCATGAATAACCCTGTAACTTTTAACATGTGGTTGAATTAAATTTTAAATGGAAGTGAAATAAAGAACATGGACTATCAGCAAATTATTCTTGACCGTAAAGCAGCAAAGTTCATCAACACACTGTTCTTTAGCTGTGCTGACTATACTCAAGGACAGGGCCAGAGACTTAGTTTTCCATGGGACCCATCTCCAAGTGCTGTGGCCACTTTTCTTACACTTAAGCTATGTGATAACATGACTATGATCTACATATGACATTATCCTCTAGAGTCCTGAGCTTTGGAAACCCAAGCTGTGCGGTCCTCATATGAGGACGCAGGGACTCTAGAGGTTATGAGAAGACTGACATAATCCTCTGCGAGTGCATGATCCCACAAGTCATGACTGGTTTTCTGCCTACTCTTTTTTTAGGCATGAAAAAAGATTTTAATCTTTAGTTTGGAGTTGTCCCCTTTGGGAGTCATTTCATTTTGAAGTACTATTCATTAATAGCCTAATGAATGGGACAGCCAATTATGTGAAACTTTGAAAATGAGATTTAATTCTTGAAAAATACTTTAAATCCATTTCAACTACTTGGCCCTGTTGAACTGGTTCTCTTGGAGTCTTTGTGTCTTCTGAGTGTTTCTTGCCTTTCTATGTAGTCAACTTCAGATTCTTTTTTAAAATGTTTTTTTTTTTACGCATTTTTACACTTTATCTTGTGCAGTGAGTCACAGAGAAGTGGACAGAAAATGAGAGGAAGACCTGCAACAAATGTCAGTGGTCAGACTTGAACTCTGCATCTGGTTTGGTTGCCTCCTGTTACATTCTATAATGTAGTGGCATAATTGGAAATGCAGAACATATAATAATTCAGACAAATAGACAAGTGCCTAAAACGTTCACACAGGAGTGCATATAAGCCAGTTTTGAAGATTTGAGAATGTCACTGTTAAACAGTCATGTTCTGTGCTAAAGCAGCTGTTCCCAAACCAAACCATCTCGAAGCTGTCCTCTGTCACTACAGTAAAACCTGGGCTGGCTTTTAGCTGAAATCAGCAGTGTTTTGAATAAACATCTCAGTTTATTTTAAATATTATGCTGTAGATTTTCTATATATTCAATGTGGTTACTGTAGAAATGCACAAAATTTGTCATCGTTCTGTTTTGAGTGTTTTTTTTTCTACAGTTTTGATGATAGTGTGTTTCATTAGAAAAATGTGCTAGTGTTTTGCAGGTGGAGGAGAAAAGATTTTAGTAGCTGTGGTCAATGAATGCATTTTGACAACCAACCATCCATCCAATGCCCCGAGGAGTTCAGAAATAACTTTAATCATATGTGAGCTTCAATGTCATTGTCAGATGTTTTTTTGCAAATGAGAATCTGATGATGCTTCATATCCTCAAAAAGAATTATACATCCATAATAAGTATAGAATAAAGTTACTATTTGAAATATTATTTTTCTGGGATGCCGTTGCTGGTGACTTATGTTACCTCTAACATTGCTTGACTACATAATACTTTTGTCTGTAAATCATTACACTAATACCTCATTTTTCTTTTTTGCCATTTTAAAGAAATGTTCTGAGCTTTGATTTTATTATCATTGCATAAAAACCCAATTTAAACAAGAATTTTCAGTTCACCAAGTTGGTGCTATGGTCATAAATATGTTAGAGCTTTGTTTGGATGCTGGTATTAATTCAAATATTTCAGCAACTAACTTCCCTCTAGCTTTACATTCTCAGAGAGGACAGAACTAACAACCCAATTAAATTAGGTAAAATGCCCACCAGTACCATAATCACCAAAAATATGACTGCAATTAGCTGTGAGAAGGAGCAAAACAGTAATTATTCTGACATTACAAGTTACAACTCAGTTATCACGAAACTCATGAGTGAGAGCAGTTAAAACCACATGCCAACATTTAGACAGAGAAACATCCGTGTGTTGTTAAATGTGGATATGCCGCACATTTTGAATTCTTCAAATTCCATAAGAAATGTCTTGCAAATCACAAAAGGACCTGTACCCAGGTTAAAACAAGAGTATTCCGATGTGGGAGTATCACAGTGATGGTAGTGCAGTCATGTCAGGGGAAAGGTCGAGTTCACTTCAGTTTCACACCTTCACTGATAAAATACCACTGTGTCCAGTTCACAAAGGATCTGTTATAAACACAAAAGAGCTTGATAGAGGAGAGGTACTGTCCAGATGACACCATGCCATGTGCTGCAGATCCCCTCTGTATCTCTGACATCAAATGCAAAGAAAAGGCTGACAGCTCACACACATGTCCACACCTGGCACTTTACAAGGCGCACCTTACTAAATCCTCTGTTACTGCAAAGCAACTCACATGGTAATCTATAGCTGCATTGATATCCAAAATAATTCTTGTCACCACATAAAAATAGACTTTTACATTACCACTGGGAATCCACTTCACCACAGCATGGTCTCAAGGCAAGTTTAGTTTGGTACAGTAACAAGGGCCCACAAGGGTTACATGAGGCTCTCTGGCAAGGGGCATGTACAATCAATTCAACACAATTCTATGTTCAGTCAGTATGGGTAGCTTAGCCACTGCATCCATCAGCCGTCTGGTGAGATGCATTCTGCAAAAAGTGAATATGGAAACATTCCAGGACAAAGTCCTCAGTCAAAGTGCTCCTGCTGCTGTGCCGCTACCTGTGGGTCATGCAGTCTCAGGTCCTCCTGGGATGAGGAATTAGAGGCTGAAATACCAAACTAGTGGTCCTGTCTTCCATGGTGCAGAGAGTTTTGGTCCTTCTCAGGGTTAAATCAGCAGCTCTGTTCCCCTCCAGTCCTCAGAGCCCAGACAGATGTCACTCTCCTTGTCTCTCTGATCAGCAAGCGGCTCACTCTCAGCAGAGAGTGTCTGTGCTGAAGGAGAGCTGCACCTGCCACACACACACACACACACACACACACACACACACACACACACAATCTTGTGATATGGGTTGCAAAAACAAAAAAAAATCAAGCAAACCTGATGCAACCAACAATTTTACAGATCAAAGTTAACCAAGTAAACAAAGCGTAAGGCACACACATCCAAAAAACCTGACCCGGTTCCTAGGCCACAAAGCAAACTGAGGCAAAAAACAGACATAAGAGCCATACATTGCATTAGGCCCCCAGCAATTTTAATATTAAAGCAGCAACGTTTTGATCAAGTAAACATCTTTGTCAGGGATTGTCAACTGGCATCACAAAGAGGAACACACACATAGATACAAACTGATGCATCACTCAGGTTGATCTGATGCTAATCTGAATACTAACAGTGAATCTCTTATCAAGGAGGACCAGTCAGAACAGTGCTAATCTACACTGTCTGATTCAAGGAGTAAGGGAAGCCAATATGGGTGGAACATAAAAAAAAGAGAACAAAGTATATTAGAAGATTCTACAGAATAGGCCTATAGTTAGTATAATACATGAACAATTTATTCATATGAAACAAATCAAATGGATCATCCATAAGTAGTTATCATAAAGCTACTGTGAAGCTAAAGCAAAATGTAAATATGGTACGATACAAAAGGATTGATGTTGAGGTCTAGTGAAAAGCTGCTACTGGCCCATACTAGGAGCTACAGTCAGGACATAGCCTCTGGCCTGCCACCATTACTTACTTCCAATATGACTCTTTGTCTCCTGCCATTTCAGCTTCTTTTAGTAACAAAATATTTACTGCTTTTTCAAGTGTTTCATTAGCAGATTTTCAGGAGCATGAAGTATTTTTCTTTTTTTTCATTCAGAAAACTTATTACTGTAATTGAAATGTCCTTTTTCTTGCCATCCTAATCCTAACAGTGCAGGGAAAAACTACTGTCAAACAGCATCAACTTTAAAATGGCATCTTTAAAATGTAGTACTGGCACTCAGTCCAATGAGTTAGCTAATGGCTAGAGGTGGTTAAGTGACTGTAGCTTCATAAAGAGGTAAAACTAATTAGTTGGCTGGATTATGATTCACACTTCGCACTTGCATTGTGCAGTTCAGATATAAAAAACAAACTCAATCAGGCATCACTGCCTTCTGTAGGACTGTAGCTACATAATTGGGGATCTGATGCCTTTCAGTGTTTGTGCTGGCAATTTGAACTGATAAAAATGGGTAAGATTTATACAGCTACTTTCAAGGCTGCCATTTTTATTCCTGAAAGAGATCAAAGGCCCAATTTGAGAGAGGCCCAGGTATTTACCCAGGTATTATAAAGTGTACAGAACATCACAGTAGTGCAACTGACAAGTGGAGAAATTTTTGTTGGAAAAACTGAACTTGGGTTTTTACAACTCCTAAGAAAAAATCCAGTTTTTCCAGCACTGTCTATATGTTCAGCCAGAATAATTGGTTGAGTAGTGACATTTTGTTTCTCTTCTCTACAGAAAAACTGGATGAGGTGAGACAGTGTTTGGTCTTTATGACATTTAAAAATGTTCTGATAAATACAAATAAGAAACCGCAGATATGATCCACTCACCCTTTCCTCTTCAAAGCTGATCAGTCCTTCATCATCATCGCTTTCCAGCTCCTCCGGCGCCTCGCTGATCAGCGCACTGAGCTCTGTGTTGGCCGGCCGCGACTTCAGCAGGTTGAGGATATGTTGCAGTGGGGACTGTCCACCACCAGGGGGCGATACCTCCTGCTGCTCCAGGTTGTCACTCTGCTTCTTAGCAAAGTTGACAAACACCTGAGCAGAAAAAGAAAGTGATTTATTGATTCCATGTTCCTTTATAAAAGTCTGCATGTAGCTGAGCCAGAGCGGTACACACTGACTCACGTTGTCCAGAGTGGTCTGACTGACAGAGTAGTCCTCGATGCCCCGCACCTCCGCCATCTTACTGAAGACCTGAGCCAGAGAGATCCGCTCAGACTTCAGCTGGTACTGGACCTTAGTGTGGTGACGTTCCTGTAAACATGACAACAGGTGGCTTTGGATATTGGCTTATAATGGTTGTGTGCCCCTAAATATTAATGTACTTTATTAGTGTAGTTAAGTTCCACTGTCCCTGTGGATTCCTTTTAACTTCATCCATCCATTGACTATACCACTTATTCCTGAATAGGGTTGCAGGGCACTGAGACCAATCCCAGCTGACACTGGGCAAGAGGCGGGATAGACCCTGGATAGGTCGCCAGTCTATCACAGGGCTGACATGTTGACAAACAACCATGCTCATGCCTCATACGGGCAGTCAACCTGAGCTGCATGTCTTTGGACTGTGGGAAGATGCTGGTGTACCCAGAATATGGAATAGTCAGGGGATATTTATGGTTACTTCAGTCTTGCCTAAATACTTGGTACTTAGTGAATTGGTTGCCTATAAATATGATTTGACTCTGAGGAGACAAAATTAGTGCTTGTAAGAACAAGTATATGACAATGTAATTTTCCATTTTTATCACAATATATAGGACATTACTCAGCTAAGTGATGGTGGTAGGGACTGGTAAGTATTTACTGAAGGGGAGTGCAAGAATAGTTGGTGTCTGGTCGATCTAGGTGGGCTTCTCTGGGTGAGCTCAGGGCTGACTGTTAAACCCAGTCTAGCCTTGGCTCGAAACAAAGTTGATGACAGTGATGAGACTGGACCAAAAGGCTGAAGCTGTGGGCTGTAAAACCAAAACATTGTACATTAGGAGGCTAAAGAGCTCAGAGCACCTGCAGAGTTGGTGATGGTTTTCGAGTGGTTTGTTTCCATTACTAAACACATGTATAATCTGTTACTAATAAGGTCTATTGTTAATATGACAATATTCAGTATAGCCACATTAGGACACCAAAATTTGACCTGTTACAATACACCTTAGCGTGTACTAGGGCTGTCACCTTGTCCAAAAAATACATTCGACACGAAATTCGTTCAAATCAATTCAAAAGTTACCAAAAAACTGGCAGTACCTCTGGCTGCTTTGGTTGAGTTATGTGCTGTGGGGGCGCATTGAAAGCTACATGATGTATTTAGAACATACATTTCGACCCATCGGTCTTTGTCAGAGCAAGTAAGCTGCAGGGGTAGGACAATCAGGCGAGGCTGTAGAACAGATGCTGCCCCACTCGTATGTGGCAGCATTAACTTCGGTGCCTCACCTGCATACCAAGATTGCAGATGAGTCCTCATGTGTGTTGTTGTACTGGAGTAGGCACTGTGTCATTATTGTCCAATCAGCACAACTTTGCTTGCTACTATCCCACATTTTGTACTTGCAAACATAATGTTACTAGCTCACTTTACTGAGAAGTCAACAGGACAGTGGTCAAGCTGACAGTGAATTTTAACAATGTCCTCTGCTGGACCACAAGGCAAATGACATCAAACGTCCTGTCGTACTTATTGACATAGTGTACATTGTTGGATTTGAACAGGTCATTATGGTTCAGTTGTTTTAACCACTTTTAAACAAATGTTTGTGTACAGACATAAACAATTTCCACTATAACCCACTTTAAACTAAACTGAACTAAATGCCTGTGACCAAATGGGGGTTGTTTTTCAATGACCTACCTTCAGCACAGCCTCAGGGAAGTTTCTGTTGAAGAATCGAACCACCTCCTTCACATTGGAGCTGCTCTTAGTCCTCACTGTGATCATGTAGCCATCTCCAAACCTGAAACATAATCATAAAAACATGCTTGCCAAAGTGTGCTTTTTAAACATACCAAAGAATAAATAGTTTTTCCAAAAACTAAACAATCCCTGGAACCAACCGTGGTGGCATTTGAACAGGTCCTTTAGAAGTTACTGGAGTTAATTTATGCAAATATTCAGTGATATAGGTATATCTAATACCTATAGCATAGGTATTAGATATACCTATGCTATATACAAATAGGATATGTGGTGTATTGTGACATTTGACTGGGGTCTACTGTATCTAAATTTGTGAATATTAGCTTATACACCCCGTCCGCTTTAACCATTCAAAACCAAATTTCAGCTGGTGAGTGAGACATGTGGGATCATGGCACCTAAATTTCAGAATGCGATTTGTAGCCAATTATGATTTGTAAACATTTAAACCATTTGGCACCTGATAGGTACAGTGTCTCAGACAGTGCAAAGAGGCTCAGTGCACTTAACACTGTTACAATAGCTTAAACCAATTTTCATTTATGAGTGTGTATTTAAAATGGACAATAACAACACAATTAAAAAACCTATACACATGATTTGTCAAAAGCCAATGGGTGTGGCCGTGACAAACAAGTACCACTTGCCGGTTTTCTGCTTCAGGAGACAATCTACAGCGCTAATTGACCCACACCTTAAAACAGATTTTTCCACTTTTACACAGTGATATTATTACTTTTACTTAAGCTAAGGATGTGAATATTTCCTCTACTACTGGTGCTAACATGCAAACTAACAATATAACACATTATAGTTATATGCTGCATACAGAGCTTTAATTCAATTCAAGGAGCAAACAGTTAAGTTAAAAGGGCATTTAAAAGTACATGAAGGTATGGTTTCAGTATCAAAAGACATACAACAGGCCTGAATTTACTTTCTTATCTTAATAGTTGTGTTTTCATAAAAGGTTATCTTCAGCTTGTTTATACATTGTTACAGATATTGTCCTTTTGGTTGGTAGTAAAAAGGTCTAGTGCAAGAAAAAGTGTTATATAAATGCAGTCGATTTACCAGAGAATGAATGTCAGCTGTTAATATCAAACTCTGTTAAAAATGATGGAGATTAGATCACATCTATAAATGACAAGGGGAAGGTGGAATCCTCCTGACCTGTTCTTGAGGTGCTGGATGCTGCCCAGGCATTTAAACCTGCCGTTCACCATGATTCCCAGTCTCGTGCACAAAGCCTCACATTCCTCCATGCTGCAGAGGACCACATGTAATATTGTAATAACTATACAAAAAGAGGTTAAAAGTAGCCACAAAAGTAAGAAGTATTCCAGCAAAATACCACTGCATGTGAGAACCAAGGTACCTCACCTGTGTGACGTCAGCACCACAGAGCGCCCAGTCTTGATAATGTCCAGGATCAGGTTCCAGAGGAATCTACGAGCCTTTGGATCCATCCCAGTGGTGGGCTCATCCTGAAACAAAAAACAAACAAACAAACAAAAGTTTGCTTCAAAAGTCTAAGTTTGCTTTTTGCCTTCATGTTGCTGTTGGTCCAAGTTTTTAGGATGTGCATGCGCTATGTTTTGTTTTGTCTCATCCAGAAACGACCCACAAAACAGAGTTCAGAAACCTACAGGGTAACTAGCTACAATACCGTATTTATACTTGACTCTCATTACAGTTCCTGTTAGCCTTCCGCTGTGTGCACATGAAACTGAGTTGTCCACTAGTTCACAGTTATTATAGCTTTTTACTTTCCAAAGTACCAAAGTCAGATCTGGAAACATGGTTACATTTCTAAGAGATTAAAAGAGAAGTCAGGCTGAAAATTGAGCACACCTGAAATGGTGGCAATAATCCCCCAATCTGTTGTTGCATAATCTGCAGTGGATAATCGGAGTAATAATTTCACAAATTGCCTTCATTTTCTTTTCCAAATAAGTTTGACTAATTTAGAGGTTTATTTTCAGCTTGTTGGATGGTGTGACTGCTCATGTTTCTTGCCCTGTCAGACTTCCATTTTTCTGATCTTTCTACTTCTACTTCCCTCTGTAACACCTGATGCTGACTGGGAACACATATTGGGTTCTCACACTCAGTCCTATCATTAAATGATTCTACTGTGACCCAGTAGATTATTTTTTTGACTGTGTTTTTATTAATAGTATTGGGCTTTAATAAGCAATGTATCGTGAAATGCCTGTTCAGTTGCTCCTAGTTTCAAGTGGCAATTTCTGTTTGTGAACTGACAGTCAGCTGTACCAGTCTAGGGCTCCAGTTGTGCTGTGACATAACTCCCCAACCTTTGACCCCCTACTCTTCAACCAGGTCTCTATGGTCTCTGGACCTCAATCAAAACTTAAAACCAAGGGTGATTGAGTTTTGTGGCCCTCAAGCTCTAGAACAACCTCCCTCTGAACATTAGATCACTCAGCAATATGGACTGTTTTGATTGACTTGATTGACTTCAGTGATTAAATAACTTAGCTAAAACAACTAGAAGCAATAATGTGAAAGAATATGCTAAGATACTGTGGTGACAGTATCCTCTTCTGTTCATCCTCTAATGGGAACATATATAGAAAATTTAACTTTTACTCACTTTACATTTAATTTTAGTACTAATGCCAACTCAGAATGTACTGCACATTTGCAGCATGAAACACATCCATTCAAACTTCTTACCAGGAAGATGAGAGAAGGGTATCCAATCAGAGCGATGGCAGTAGAAAGCTTGCGCTTGTTTCCTCCACTGTAAGTGCCAGCAGGCTTGTCTGCATACTTTGCCAACTCCAGCTTTTCTAAAGCCCACTGTACCAGCTAAAGAAGGGTTACAGGGTAATGTCAGTATATGGTGCAGATTCATTTGTTCAAGGTTAGGAGGGGACAGACGTAAAGAAGGATGAAGATTTCACAGATGTTTGAAGCTGTTCAAAGACTAAGACTTGGTTTTAAGGTTAAGATTAAAATAAGGTTGATGTGATGTCTACACAGGAGGTGTAGCATGAGCAGCCGCAGTAACTTCAGTGCCCCGTATCTACCTATGATGCATTCAGGCACAGTACTGAGTTGTTGTTGTTCAGCTGTATTTTGGAAGAACAGACAGCTGGACTGATTAAAACACATTTAAGAACAGAAAAATCAAAGAAGAAGCTCCATTCCATCAGACGTGTGAGACAGATGACTGAACAATGCAGCAAAACCACTTGCTGTGTAGACACACCATTAGGTTTGGGGTTGGGATTAGGCATTAAATTGTGATGATTATGGTCACAGACTAAGTAATGAATTATGTCAATTAGGGTACTCAAGTACAGAAAGAGAATTGTGTGTGTGCCTGGCATTGCTCACATTGTGGGGACTTGACTTTCCTTGTGGGAAGGAAAATGCTGGTCCCCACTATGCACTGTAAATCAGTGAATTTTAAAGCTTAGTGTGAAGTCGGGGTTGGGTTAAGGTTAGGATTAGGTTATGGTTAGACATGCAGTGGTTATGGGTAAAGTTACGGTTAGTCTTCTGGAAATGAATGTAAGTCAATGTATAGTCCATATGTGAACACAAATTTGTGTGTTTGTGGCCTGGTACTACTAATGTTGGAGGTTAGGGTTAGCTTCATAGTCGCTATGGTTAAGGTAAGGTTAAGTCTCCAGGAAATGTATGTAAAGGCCCCATGTGTAATGAAAACAAATGTGTGTATTTGAGGCCTACCCTCTCCTGGTCCTTCCAGGGAATCCCACGAAGGCGAGTGTAAAGCTCCAGATGTTCCTTGGCTGTCAGGTCATCAAAGAGGGCATCAAACTGCGGACAGTAGCCGATACACTGCTGCACATGTAGCAGGTCCTTTAGGATACTGCACACACACAGTAACACACACAGTAAGGAACATCATTAAATGCTTGCTATCACTGTGACTTTGAGGGACTGTTAAGCCATTAAATTAGTTGTTAGGTCAAGAGACACAGCAAAATTTCTGATTAGAAACAAGGCACTCAGTGTTAACGATAGAAAAGTAAGAGACAAGGTATTATCAATATAAACAATCTAATTATAATAATACAAATCAAACCAACATTGCACATTGGTATGTTGAGTAGTTACAGTTAGGAGCAGGAAGGAAGGACCTGTGATAACACTCAAGTCATGCAATTGGGGTGAAGCTAATGCCACAACTGTGTCAAAGAAGGTCCTCAAGAGTGTTCCCTGAAGTCCAAACTAACTTAGCCTCCTCAGCAGGTCCAGTCTGCTCTGGCCTTTTCTGTAAAGTGCCTCAGTGTTGATCGACCAGTCCATTTTATTGTTGAAGTGAACACCCAGGTGCCTGTAAGAGTCCACTCTGTCAATGTCCATTCCCTGGATGTTCACGGGTGTCAAAGGGAGGTTTCTGAGCCTGCTGAAATCCACCAATCTGGTCTGGAGGTAGTTCGGTGGTTCTGCAGACTCAAGTCCAGAAAGTCCTGGATCAGTTCTCTGTACTCCTTTGTCACCCTCACCTGTGATGAGGCCGGCGATCATGGAGTCATCTAAGAACTTTTGCCTGCAGTGTGCAGGGTGAAGAGGTACGGTGCCAAAGCAGTTCCCCGCATGGACACCCACACACTACTCAGTTTACAAGTTTTCCACCAGACATTGGAACCTGGCTGCAGGGATTTGCTTCCATTCAGCCATGAGCGTATTAGTGAGGTTCAACACTGATACTGGCCGACAAGGCATTGGGAAGCTTCCCAGTGTTGGGAAGCTTTTTGAAAGCCTAACTTAACAGCTGCCAATTATTTCACACCAAAAGAAGTTGAACTACAGTAAAGTTACCCTAGGGAGAAATCTAGTTTGCTTAACTAAGCTACTTAAAGCTTCATGCTTCTTTGTAAAAAATGATTAAATTGACAATATTTATAACAAAATACAAAAAAGTCACTTGCCAGGGAAAATGCCACTTAGTTGAGTTTATTATCTGAAACCTAAACCAGTCCTAAATAAGACAATCCCATCTGGGCCTTTCACAAGTACAACACTGCAAGGAATGAAATATTTATCTTGTAAACATCTGGATTTTGTATTATCTGAATACAAGTAAACAGTAAAGAACAAATATTTAACTTGCACCTTTTTGTAACATTTGACTTGTGTTTTCTCAAACATTGTAAAGGTTAACTTTACATGAGAATGTTTGAGAAAACGTATTGTGGTGTTTGGGGGCAGAGGAGCACCTGGTGGGACTGCAATAATGCCAGAGGAGTCAGACTGTTGGTGGGGTCTCTCATAATGCCTCACTGGGTGGGCTGTAAACAGTTTGGGGTTTTGGCAGGGTTTGTGTCATCTTTCTGTTCAGTGTTGAGCGTGTTGCTGTTTGCAGCTTGTTTTATAATAAAAGAGCATCGCTTCAGAGCCCAGAAAAAGGCAACTCTGGCTCCAGCCTGTTCTTCCCCCAGCCTGACTTTACAATATTGGTTCTCCAAAGAATGAAAAAGGTATATAAATGATTCATTGACATTTTCTTTTTTGTTTGATTCCTCTGATGACAATTTATATATTATAAGTTCCACCTACATTATGTGAACTTTTGTGAGGAATACGTGAAATTCATTGTGAAATTTGATGACAGGTGTATCCGTTTTCTGGATGTGAAAATACAAAAAGTGGGGAACCAAGCGGATACTGATCTTTATCAAAAACCAACTCATTGGAATACAATATTATGGGGAGATAGTCTTCACCCATATTCCCTCATTAAAGGATTACATTTTAGTTAATTCCATAGAACTAAAAGGATCTGCAGTGCAGATGAATGAACCAAGTACATGCGAATGATAATCATTTTCTCAGCAGAGAATTTAAAAAGGGGTGGATGGAGGCAGTTAGGAGTTGTTTTGATAACATCTCTCAAACACAAAGCTTACACCTGCAAAACATTCTCAAATGAAGTAGTGTGTTAACTATTCTAATGTAGAAACAGAGTTTCGTAAAATTATTTACAAACATTGGTATATTGTAAAATCTGATCTGAAAATGGCACCTTTCTTCAAATCTCCACCTAAACTGATATTCAGAAGACCTTGTAATATACGTGACATGTTGGTTAAATCGCAATTGCCCATTTCATCAGCTCCCTTTTCTCTCCCCATTCTTAAAGATGGCAATCTATAAGTGTGGTACTATAATAACATGTTTGTATTGTGATGTGGTGAGTGGGTGAAAATATGTGTGTACAAGCTGTGATGTTTCACTGTTGTCTTTGTGCTGATTAGTCTGGGTGTGCTGTCACACCTGACATCAGTTTGAATGAGTCTATACACTGTGTGCACAATTATTAGGCAAGTTGTATTTTTGAGGATTAATTTTGTTATTGCACAACTACAGTGCTCTTGGTCAATCCAAAATGTTAACAAACCCTCAAACCTGAACATTTAAGTAGTAAAAGTGAAGTTTTGGCTTTCTTAAGAGAATATCTACATGTACACCATTATTAGGCAACTATTAGTGTGCAGAATTATCATGCAACTAAATAAAAAAACAAAGATTTTCCCATCTCACTTATTTATTTTCACCTGTTAAAGTGAGAATAATAAACA